CGCGGCCACACCGCAGCTGTGTCCAATGTCAGGTTTCCGCGGCGGCGGACGCCGGGCTCCCTACTCGTCCCGACCTTTGCGGCGTAATTGCCAGTAACGGAAAAGCTTCCTGCGCAGCGCTCCGCAGGCGGTTCGGGACTCGGAGCCCTTCGCGCCCCGCACCCCGGTTTCTCTAGGCGCTTCTGCTAATGCGTGTGCGCCTGAAAGGCCGTGCGCGATCTATGGGAAAATGGGCAAACCATCTGAAACCCGTACCCCGAAACCAAAACGCTGACAAAAACTATCTTAATGAAACCCTACTGGAGGCCAAGACGTGTTCGATTTCTAATGAACCCAGAACTGTAGGGCTTTGCCTTTTTTAAAAGGGGCGGTGGCATCTTGACGGAAAGGCACATACAGAAAGGCTGACGAGTCCTCATTTCGGAGATTAAAATTCACAGAGATCAGGGAGAATCGCGTGGTAAATATGTCCAAACGCGGGCACAAGTCCGCACTTAGTCTCGGGGAGGAGGCCGCAGCGTCTCCTGGCAGCAGCTGTTCCCTCGGGGCGGCACAGAAACGCGCTCTGCTGGATGGACCAGCCCCGCGCCCACCGCATCATCCAGGCGCGGTCCGCTCCCCCCACAGCGCAGGCGGCGAAGATTCTCATCCACGTGCCGTGGCCGCAGCGTCTGCAGTGACTTGCTTCGTCCCGGCAATTCTGGTTTCCTGCCAGCAGGAGGCGATAGCGCGCCACGCCACAACCAACCAGGACCACCCGATTAAGTCATTTATCAAGATCGCTTGACAAAGATGTCTGAATCTTTTTGTATCAAGACTGTAGTACTTTATAGAAAGAACGGAACTTGGAGGGAGGGGGGACAATAGAGACTGTACTTAAGGACAATACCTTCTTCAAAGCAAACGTTTTAAACGTTTGAGATAAAATGTACTATGCTGCCCATAAACTGATGGCATCGGCTGATGTAAAGAGATTGTCAAGGTCTTTAGGCAATGGGGGTTTTCAAGTTACAATTTAAAGCTCGGTGAGAAAAGCAGAGTGAGTAGATTTTTAAAAGGTGGATTTCCCTCTTTTTATGATCACGCTAAGATGATAATTCACAATCTGCGACCACGATGGGAAAATGGCTGGCAAGCAAAGAGGCACGAAGCAGCTGTGGTTGCCAATCGCCAGGCGGTGGCGGGGAATGTCCGCCTTAAATTAGAATAAATGGTGCCCGGGCAGGGTGACGGTGCAATTAATTCTGTACGATTTCAGCTCCTTTCTCCTCCCGACTTTTCATTTCAATGTATTCCTTGCCGACAACCACCAAGGCTTCAGCCACGTGCACCTTTTTGGTGATGTCTCGGCATAAATCAGCTGGACGTGGAGTCGTTAACTAGCCATCTGTCTATTTCCCCCAAAAGTACCGTTCAAAGGCAGAGACTGGAGGGGAGTTAGCGAGAAGGGTGGTCGAGACTCAGGAAGGCGCTTCGCTCGACCCGCACCAAGCCTGTCGCACTCAGCGTCACCCCTGCCCCTCCCCCCCCGTGTCCTCAGTTCACGGAGATCAGCCACCGCATCCTGTGCTCCTACGACACGGACATAGACGAGCTCTTCGCAGAAATCGACCACTGCCTGGCCATAAACCGCAGCATTCTGCAGCAGCTGGAGGACAAGTGCGGCCACAAGCTCACGGACGAGGACTGGCAGAGAATCCGGGCGCAGGTAGGCTTCGCTCAGCAACCGGGGGCGGCAAGCCACGCGGGTCTGCGGTGACGCTGGAGGGGAGGCCGAGGGACACGTCAGGGGACGCGGGGAGCCACGCTCGTGCGTTCTGCCCCGGCTGTGCGGGGGGGACCCTTGGGCCTTCCTCCCCCACTCGAAGTGACTGCAGGGCCCTTCTGTTCAGAAGTCCGCCCTGGCGATGCCATCGTGCGGACCGTGAAAGCGCCAAAGGGAAAAGGTCCCTTCTGACCGGTTTCCCGCCTTCCCCTGCGACGACAGTGGCCTCGGAAGAAAGGGTGACCCCGAGGGAAAACTTGCTTAGAATAGCACAAAAATAGGAAAATTTAGGAGGAAGTTTAGCAGCTACACAGAGTTCAGGATTTTGAAAAAGACCCCTCGGCGTTGCCAACGGTCAGCGTTTCTTAAAGGCCTTGTGCTTTTAGACTGCTTGGCACAGCAGGTCACCGTCCCTTTCCATCCTGCACGAGAGTGGGAGTGGGGGGGACACGCGCGCGTAACCGTGCGACGCTGGCACCCAATGAACCTCTTCCTCTTTACAAGACCAGTGTCCCTAGTGCCCGCTCCCACTTACACCTGCGGAACTGCCTGTCAGGTGACAGCAGAAGCCGCGGACGCGCTCACTCCTTGTCCCGTGTCGCAGGCGCAGCACCGGGAGGCCCGCGAGTGTCCCATCTGCCTCACCCCGCTGTCCATGGGCAGCGACGGCCCGGGCGAGCCGCCGGGGCCGGGCGGCGGCCAGCCCTGCCGGGAGACGGTGCTGCTGTCCTGCTCACACACGTTCCACCACGCCTGCCTGCTCGCCCTGGAGGCCTTCTCCTGGGGCGACAGCTCCCCCTTCCACGCCTGTCCCCTCTGCCGCTCTTGCTACCAGAAGAGAGTCCTCGAAAGTTGATTCATGGCCGGGAAGTGTCCTGTCGTTCCGGGGGGAAGGCCACCGTCCCCCGGACGCACCGTGGCACAGCGCAGCCCGGGTCAGCGCCGATTAGTAACTAGTGGACTTGGCGGTCGCGCAGAGGACACGTTGTAACTATGCCGTCAAAGCGCACAGCCCGGCAGCTTCCTTCCGTCTTCATAAAAAGATTTCAAATCCACGAGTCGCAGCACGTGAAACAAGCGAGGAGCGGACGGCGACTTCCGGAGGCCCCACATCCCGCCCCCCAGGCTGCTCGCGGCCCAGCGGGGTCGCTCAGCACAGCCCGTCACCCCCTTCCTTGCACGGCCATCCGATCAGCGGGCCCTGCCCACGGAGTCCCCACGGGCACCGGTGGGCCTGTCAGGCGGGTCCCAGCGGCCAGCACACACGGCAGTGTCTGACCACATGCCCGATGCCTGAAAACGCTCCTCGAACGCAGCGTCCTGAGGCCCCGCACCGTTCCTAGTCCTGTTCTGTACCGGTTTCTTGCTTTCTGCGTAATAAACCACCTTGGACTTCAGCACCCCCAACACGCAAACGCGAATGTCAAACTAAAACACCCGGCGGCGTCCGGCTTCAGAGGACGACGGCCCAGCACGTTCTCGCCACGCAGAGCCAGCCGCCGGCTGTTTCGGCTCACACGTGGGGAGTGCGTGACCGGCTTGGAGCAGGTCGTCCTGACTGTGCACGCTCCCTGGGGCCTGACTGCCGAATAAGCGAGGACAGTTGTAGGGCTCGGGCACCCAGCTGCCGTAACAGACAAGGCTCACAAAGAGGCTACACAGCCCGGCGGCGGCGGGTCTGGGGACAGAGGCTCTGCTCTCAGTGGCCTGGGCTATGGCTCCTTCTGGCTCGTGGCTCATGGCTCGTGGCTTGGCCTCCCGTGTGCCCCGAGTCCCCAGGGACTGCTCCCATGTGCTGGGGAAGAGCAGGCAGAGGTGTCTGCGGGCCAAGCGTGGGCACATGGGCACAGCTCCTGCAGCCGCAGCTGATGGCAGGCACGGAGACAGTGGACGGGGGGCAGACGCACAGGTGCACACGTGTCAAGGGTGCAGGTCAGTCCCCATGTGGTACGGGAAGAAACACACACACAGATTTCCACTTCTACCTCATCCCCGTGAGGTGCTTGTCTGGTGTGCTTTCCTCGTAGGTAGCTGCGCACCCACGGCCTGCTCGGGGCTCATCACCCAGTGTGGACAGCAGAGGGAAGCTGGGGCATGGGCCGTGTCCCCACCCAGAAGGCCCTGGGGCAGACTCGTCCCTCCCCAGCCCCAACAGGCAGCGCAGAGCCATGTCACCGAGGCCTGGGCGGTCTGAGGCCACGCCCCAACCTGGAACCTGGAGGGAGAGGCCTGGGTCACTCGGTGACAGCGAATGCTCTACGGGCTTGGCTCCCGGGCGCGGTGGCTACGTGTCCCTGCCTGCTTCCTGGACGCTTTCTTGAGATTTCCCAGAGCCCGTGAGCTGTCACATGTCCCTCTGGTACACTCCTTTCCTGCTTCAGTGGGCAGAGTACATTTCTATTCTTTGCAATCAAGTACTTTACTGACATAGGACTGAGTTGTAGGCGACAGATAAAAAAATTTGGGGGGTGGGGTGGTAGGGAGACCTGGGACTGGTCACCCGGATGAAAACCGAGGCGTGTCAGGGGCGAGGAGCAGGGAGCGGCGGCCGTCAGCGGAAACAGGACATCTGCACTGAAAAGCCTGCTGCAGTGGCATGGCCGCCAGGGGCGTGGGGACACCAAGCTGCCACCGGAGCAGAAAGCAGGGCTTTGGGCGGTTTGAAGATGACAACACATTCTTCGTTCAGTCAGGTCACAAAAACCACCCATACCTTTCCCCGATCATATGGCAGCCTCGTCAGCTCTCGTGAAAGCTGGGTCAGTGACCGAGGAGCAGCTGGGGCCGGGACGAGGGCGGGCTGGCTGGAGGGCTCCGAGAGGGAAACTGTGACGCCCTTTAAACCTGTCGTCCTAATCCGCACATCTCTGCAGTTATTCAAAAGCAGCGTTTTTTCATTCGCGGGCGGTTCGGGGCTTTGTTAACTGTTGCGATGAGCGAATCCCAGCCTCTTTCCGTCTGCGGGAGCGTGGCCGCGACCTCCGTTCGCGGACGCGGTTGGGCATGTGCGGTGGGCTCCGCGGGGACACGTTCCCCGAGCCCGGTGAATCTGGTTTCTGGCACCTGCCACCAGCGGTGTGAGGAATGCGGGACAGCAGACTCAGGCGAAGCGAAGGGAGGAAGGGGGGAGGATGGCGTCACACCGGCTCTCCGGGGACCCGTGGGGGGCTGGGGGAGGGTGGGCATGCAGGAGCAGCGCACGCCCCCGGGCTGGCTGCGGGAACCACCCCAC